GGGAGAAGGAATGAGGAATTATATGAATCTATAGGGAAAAGAACCACCTACTTCAACTTTCTTTCTTTCTTTCTCCTTCCTTTCTTATACTGAGGATGAAATGTGGACCTTGTTCATACTAGGCAAATGCTCAGCCACTGAGCTATATCCCCAGTCCTGTATTTATGTACTCTTAAATCAATCTGTGCAATATTTGCTTGATGTCATCCTAACTCTTTTGAACTAAACTGTATTATTAAGATTTTTCAATGTAGTTATTATTCTCTCTTTTAGATACAAAGTCCCTTTACCATACTGAAAGGAATTTAAATTGAAGATGAGTTAGTAGAGCACAAAAATGACCTGAAAAGTTTAATATAGCCATGTTATGCAATGTTTGTAAGTATCAATAGTCACAACATGTTTTTTCAGAAATATCCAAGACTTTCACAGCAGAATACACCACTGGTGTCATTCTTTCCCATTCACCCCACCCCCCATCTCTAAACCATACAAAGGACCGGAAATGTTTCAGTATACACGGTCCTCTCTCTCACCTGTACACCAACTTTTGGGTGTTGTATCTTGGTCCAGTGATATTTCTGAATAGTGTAAAATATCAAATATTTGACCAAGAACACTGCTCATCTCTTTGATGAGAGTTAGCCAGAGAAGGATATTGTTAAAAGTTCTCCACAGAAACTTGAATTGGTTTTAGTATGCAGGTGTAAAAGGGCAGAGAAAGTTTTTCTAGTAGCTCTTTAGCAAGTAGAAAGTTAAGATATTACCTAGGAGCTGGGCATGGTGGCACACGCCTGTAATTTCAGCTACTCCAGGAGTCTGAGGCAAGAAGATCACAAGTTTGAGGCAAGCCTCAACAACTTAGTGAGACCCTATCTCAAAATAAAAATTAAATAAAAAGGGCTGAGGATGTGGCTCCATGGTTAAGTGCCCCTGAGTTCAATCCTCCCCTTCCCCCCATATATATAATCTATATGGAAGTGTGGATGTAGCTCAGAGATAGAGTGCTTGCCTGATATATATATATGAAATACATGAAAAAAAAAACTATTTATACCTTTATCTGTATCTATTATATATTACCTATTAATTATAGGGAAAAAGGGTGAAGACCTGGTAATGTTTGTGTGGATGTTTAATAAATCACCAACTCTACCTTCCCTAGAAAACAGAGTAGGTCACCTGCCCACTGCCTTCAGGCAGACCATTGCATAACAGTCTCAAATAGATAAGGATCTTTCTCTATATTTTTCCTGAGTTAGCCTGTAGCCAGTACATTTATATATGTTTAAATTAAGTTCCTTTTTCTATAAATTAAGTCCATTTATGCATAGAATTTATTTTTATTTTTATATTTTTTCCCTTGGTCTTGAGTAGATTTCAAGTGTTGATGTTGGCACAGATTTAAAAAACTAGGTCAAGGAATAGACTTGCTTCCAAATAAGCAAAAACTCACTGGTCACAGTGATGCATGCCTGAAATCCCAGTGACTGGGAAAGCTGAGGCAGGAGGATCGCATGTTTGAAGTCAGCCTCAGCAACTTAGCCAGGTCCTGACTTAAAAAATAAAAAGGGCCCCGGGGGGTGTAGCTCAGTGGAACAAGCTGGGTTCAATATCAAGTACAACAACAAAACAAACAAAAATTTAAGAAATTGTTTCTGATCCTTATTAACATACCCCAAATCAGAGGAAACAGAGACAAAGACCATCGTGTTTTTCCATCTTATTGCCTGAAGCCTTTGACTTCCTTAGCTTTTGCCAAAACCTTTTGATTACCTTGTAAAGAACGCAGTATATCCTAGGCAAAGTCCCAGGGAGAAGTAATGGCGGTCTCTGGAGGTGGGATGACACCCTTCAACTGCCCCTTTGACATTATTGTTATGCTTTCTCCAGTCCTTTCCTCTTTTTCAAACATCTCCTTCCCCCTTCCAAATCTCTGAGTTGACACACACTATAATGTAAAATTATGCTAGGTGCAGTGGTGCAGGCTGAGGCAGGAGGAATCTCTTGATTGGCCCCTTTGTCAAACAAACACCACATGTAAAGCCAGTATCACAACACTGTTTTGTTTTGTTTAATATATTTTTAGTTGTTGATAGACCTTTATTTATTTATTTATTTATATGTGATGCTGAGACTCAAACCCAGTGCCTCACCCATGCAAGGCAAGCATTCTACCACTGAGCCACAACTCCAGCCCTGACAACATTGTTTTATTCAAAAGTTGCCTGGAAGAACTTGGAAACCAGGAGATGGGGATAGGGTGTAAGGGGAGTATGGAGATGCTAGCATAGAAGAAAATGCTTTAATTTATCAAATAATTGAGTTTAACATGTGGTGTATTTGGACATAAACCTTCATCTTTGGCCAGTGATGTTTAATAAAAAGGGTTAAGGGGTAGGGTGAAGTGTGAAGTTAGAGCTAGTTTAGAAAGTGTGTGTATTCTTAGACTTTGGTTTTGATTACAATAAATCTATGCTGTAGACTTGTGCTTTGCTTTTACTTAAGGAGATATATTGGAGGAGCCCTATACTTCTCCATTGTCACTAGGTCTCATTTTTTTAAAATGCGCTTTGAAGTCCTGTTGTTATTAAGAGCTAACCATTAATTTTTTTTCCAAACTGATGTAACACATGGGTGTAACCATAGGCTTCCAAAGGCTGAAATGGAGAGGACACCCCAGAGACCTAGGAAGTACCCAAGAGTGATCTGATGCTTTGAGGAACCACTCCTCTGAAAGCTGAAAAATTAAGGTGCTGTGTTATCATCAACAGGCCCATATGCAAATGTAAAATCTGTACATTCAAAACTATAAAACAAATATCAAAACTAAAATGGAAGGTAAATGGATATGAGATATTTTATTTGTCCCATTTTGTTTGTTTATGTACAGCTTCGATTTGAATGCAAATGCATTTAGGGAGATCTAAGGACTATTAGAGATTGCATTCCTCTGGTTTATACACCCCAATAAAGGGTGGAAACTGCTGTCTATTACTGTTTGCAGCATCAAATCTAGTTCATCTAGTGTAGTGAAACAACAAATTGGCATTTTTTTCCTAATGGACTAAATATATTAAAAGCTCAAACATGAGTCAATAGCCAGTACTTAAAACATGTGACATAAATATTTGTATTGATCCACAAAGTCATCACTGAATATTTACATCATATGCTATCTTCTGCTAGCACTAATTCACTTTATGTGTCCATTTGACTTTGTTAAGACACATTCTTAAATTGCAATTGTCAGTGGAAATTACAATCCCACTATTACTGGATCCTTAAAATTTGGGATCATGATGCTTTCCATTAAATTCAGAGCGACCATTGGCTTCAAAATTTCCATATTATAGCTCCTAAAAATAATGGAAAGCAACCATGAAAAATTATAAATAAAACATACTCTGAAGACTTAATATATAAACACATTCATTTAAAGATATATTAACAACTTGTTATTGCATATTAACCTCTTAACTATGTCATGAATCTTATTAACCTGGTTGCATATGTCCTACAATAAAAACTAAATTATGGGGGTTGTGGATTGCAGATGTAGCATTCAGAGAATTAAGATACCCCACTCTCCCAAGTTAGGGTTAAAGATTTGGGGAAAGAGGAATTACAACAATCCCAATGGTTTAAAAATGTGGACTGGGACTATTTAAGGGGTTAATCTTCCTAGTATATTTTATCTCCCACAAATCGATTAAAAAAAAATATGAGACTGGCCCGAGGTGTTAATATGGTTGGCGGTGGCCTTATTGTATTTTTTATTTTTTGGAGCCTCATATGACCAGGTGGAAAGGTTTGTTACTAATTTAAGGGAAGAACCGTTCCTGTAGTGTTGGCTAAATGGTTGCCAGCGTTCACACTTCAGTGGTTGTAAACCCGAAGACTGGAAACAAAAGGGTTACTTGTTTCCCCACCGCCGCCTTTACCCCCAGATCGATTTTTCTTATTTAATCAGCGAGCAAAAAACACAGGGAAAAAAAAAAAAATTGCAAGAAGGGCAAAGTGGTGGGGGAGGGCTGAGAGCCTGAAGCTGCAATACAGAAAATCATTCTTGGGAGTTCGGCTGCCGAGTCCTTGGAACAAGGAAGGGAAGCCAGCAAAACGCTCGAAGTCATTTCCACACAGCCAGCCTCCCTGTTCTCCTCGCTACGCGCTACTGGCTCATTTGGCTTCCCTCTGCCACCGAGCGATCACATACATTATTTTCCCCAAGATAACACAATCAAACTTGTATTTACCGACATCCTCTTTTCGCAGCCTGTTTGAGATTTGTTTTAATAAATAAGTGTTTTATGTGAATGATGTAGTAATTGAAACGGGTGCTCCATTTTTTTCCCCTTCTTACTGCGGGAGGTTTCTCAACCCCAATCTGGTTGGAAAATAAAACGCTTTGTCTCCACAACTACCCCCCACCGCACCCCCACCCGGGCTCAGTGTGTGTTTTATACGTGTGTATATCTCAACCCCCTACAGTAGCCAAGAGAAAGCAGCTAGCCAATGAGAGAGCCCAGTTTCATAAAAGCTGCTCTCTGATTGGCCCGATGCGAAAGGGCATTGGGAACAAAGAAAAGTCCCTTTCAGGTATAGAGGCTGAGAGCTCCTTTTGCTCCACTCCCCCTGTGTGTGTGTTGTGTTTCGGTCCTGATTTCAGTTGTTGCAGAACAAGCTTGTGTGTGTGCACCAGGGGGATTTTTGTTTTAATTTTATTTTTTGTTTTTATAAAAAATACACAGGACGGTCTGTGATATTTGATGGTCCATCTTCTTTAATAAAAAATTTGTTGAAGAGATTATAATTTCCAAAATAAAGCGGCTGCAACCAAACACATTCAATGCAGTTAGAAGGAAAAGGTCAACTCGATCCCATACAGACCGTAAGTACGGTTGCGTGGTGTGTCTCTATATAGCACTTAGCGGGGACTTCATGCAGGGGAATGTGCGAGTTTTATGCATTGAAATGAAGAACTAGTTACAGGATTTGGCTTTTGCATTTAGAACAACCCAAGAAGGGTGAATTTTATTCAGTGGAGGGTAAAGCATTTGTAACTTCTTCACACAAATTAAGCTTGACTGGGCACTCGGGGTAACTTAGAGTAAATTACCTTTTGGGCTCTAACCCAAAGGAGAATAAAAGTGACACAGTTACATATCCTGGTCAGTAGTGTCAATTCTCTAGCGCACCTTACCTTCTTCCTCTCCTTTCCTAGCTGGGCAGATCCCCTCCCAAACAGAGCCATTAAAATGGGGGCAAGGGCAGAACAAGCCGATTTTTGTCTCCTGTCACATTCTAGTGCCCAATAATTTAATATTAAGGGGACATTCATCCATTACATATAATGGTTATAACTACCATTTTCCACCGTCTTAAAAAAAAGCAACCAGCAAAGACACCATTAAGAGAAAAAGAAGGAAAAAAAAAAAGCCCCACCCAACCCAAACAAACCCACAAATAGTAACAATGGTGTGTTTATTTAAGGACCCAGTTTGAAAGCTAGAAAAAATGTTTTTCTTTGTGTAATACATGAAGGGGTCCCTAAAATCCTAATAGTTCAGAGGTGCTGTTCCCCCTCCCCCAGGCGTCCGCGTCTCTGGCCCCTTGGGAAAGCCAACAAATTGGAGATAAGTTGAGGAAAGGTTTATAAGGTGTTTCTTTAAAACATCTGCTTTGCTCTTGTGCTCATTACATTTCACTCCTTCCGAACTTCCGAGATCCTAGATCTGAGAAATGTTTCACATTCATAACTTGTAGCTTCGCCCACTGCGGGTGGGGGCGGGGGCGACGGTGCGGGGAGTGTGTGCGGGGGGAGGCGAGAGACCTTCAGCTTTTTTTTAAAGACCAGATCAGTATTTTCTTGATACGCTTGTCACCATTTTTGTTCTCACGACAACCAATTGAGCCCTTGATCCTCACGTGATGTGAAAGGCTTGCACTGTAACAAAATCGCTCCTTTTAGATGGTTGGTTGTTGCTAACTCGCCCATCCCCCTCTCCCGGCCCCGACATTTCCAGCAAAGCGACTCTCCACTTCCAATCCATCAACAATTCATTACTGCTTTTAGCTTCCAAACGCCAGCTAATTAAAAATACTAAGCCAAGCTCCGAGGCCATCTGACTAAACACACGAGGGGGTGGGCGAGAGGTGGAGGAGGAGAGAAAAAAATAAATAGAAGGGAGACGCACCGTTTGCTGCGTGTGTAAGGAGAAAAACTGTCTTGAAAAAGGTCGTCTTATTTTTTTTTTTAACTCTAATTATCGAATTACCACATGACTGATGGACTTGAGCGACAGAGGATTTTAACTCCCCCCCCGCCCTCCCCCCCCAGGGCTATACTAAGGAACTCGGTTCCTTTTTCTTAAAACAACATAAAACAGGAAAACATCACATCCTTTAGGTTTCGAAGTCTGAGCCCATTTTAAACGCCGTTATTTCCCCCACTCGGCTGCCCCCCGCCCCGAGCGAATGCTGTTATAACTGGTTTATCAGCTCACTGAATCGTCTGCTCCCTCCTCCTCCACACCTTTCTTCTTCTCCTCTGGCTCAGCTTCTCATCCCACCCTTTCTTCCTCCTTCTCCTCCTCCTCCTCCCTCCATTCTTCTTCCCCCTCCTTGTCTCTTAAGTTAGTTCGAGAAATCAAATCTGTCAGGACGGGCGGAAAAATGCCACTTCCCGACTAACAGGCGGAATCCAGCCCAGATTTTCAGTCCTTTCTTCTTATTCTTTCTTCCCTTTCACTAATTTATCCCGATGTTAGCACATTCTGTCTTGTTACTAGCGGACGCCTGTAGGTTTGCTACATGGGATCATTACTTACTGATCACGGTGACTCTGAAGTCTGGAACTGAAGGCGGAATGAGAAGTTGGGAAAACTTTTTTCTCTAAGCTCTTTCTCTCTCTCTCTCTTCTCTCTTTTAAACCCTATTATTCTCGATGCTTGTTAAGAGGGAAAAAAACCTTTGGTGCTTCTGTTGTGAATGTGAAACATTATCTTCCAGCTGTACAGTGACACATTTTTTTAAGGAGAAAAGGACTCCTGATCCGTTTGCCAAAAGAGGGGGGTGGGGAGGTGGAATAATGTTATCGAGTGATTATTCTGGCTGAGATGTGTTATTTGGTTTCTTCCTTCTTGATCATTTGGTGTTTAAGTAAAATGAGGCACAGGCTTGTTTGCCGAGTGGAGTGGGAAATGCATTTTGATTTGCTGGCCCAATTAAAAATGATAAAGGATTAAAGGTAAGCAATCTCTCTCTGTGTCTGTCTCTCTTTCTCTCTCTCTCTCTGTGTGTATGTATATTTATTTATTTTTTTCCTTGACAATCAACTGTTAAAAAGGGGCTGATCCCTTTAAAAACCGTTTTAACTGCTCTTTGTCAAACACACACTCATTTGCGGTCATTGAGGCCACCTTGGCGCAGATCACTTAAAGTGTATGTCTTAATCAGTTTCCCTGTACAGTCAGTAGCACCATATTTAACAGACTGAGCAATTCTGTGACCTAGGGATATAGTAGAATTGTTTAGATGGATTTTTTTTTCTCAAGGCAAATATTTAACCTTTTATATAACACTGTCTTTTATATAGAGAAATGCTCTTGAAGACGTGTGTAATTTAAAAAAATGTATAAGCTGTTGGGGAAGAGAGGATAGGAGAGAGGTATGCTTGTGTGTGGGGAGACTATTGGTTGTTTTTTCTGTTCCTTACTGGGAACAAATACCAGATTGCCCAGACAATTTGTAAAAAGAAGTGCTAAAATTAGAAATAAGGAAAAATTAGCAACATCATTCTGAAAACTAGTCTTCAGAAAACTTCCAGGGTCTGGTCTTTTAAATTGCAAGAGCTAGGACACGTTTAGGGCTGTTTAATGCTGTGTTCCTCTTGTCTGAGTGTTAAAGCTGTATTTCAGGGGCTGAGATATCACATGTGCCAGACAAAATTCTAAACTTAAAAGAAACCCACAAAAACCTTTCTGCACTTGAATCAGATCCTTAAGATATTTTAATGCTTTTTAAAAAAGTGATTATCCTTGTGTTGTTGATAAAGGGATTTTAGTAAGATGCTTACTGTCATGGGTTTGTTTTTTGGGTCTGATTATTTTCCTTTAAACCTGATATTGGACTGTGGAGACAATACATGAGGCACCTTACTCTCTATCCTTCCCTGTACCCCTTACTGACTCCCCAGTATTAATCTTTTCTTATTCTGGTAACACCCAGACAAGAAATATTCGACTTTTCCCCCCTTCACAGGAAAAGGTGGACCTGGACTGAAGGGTGTAAAATCCCTGGACACATTCGTGGGGCAGGATAAAGAAGAGGAAGATTGGAAGATTTTTTTTTTCTTTAAGAGAAAGCCCAGCGGAGCTAAACGAATGTCCCCTCATCTCCAAAGGAAAGTTCATCGGATTTTTATTCTAGAGAGCTCATCTTCAGGATGTCAGTGAACATTTCTACTGCAGGAAAAGGTGTGGATCCAAATACAGTTGATACTTATGACAGTGGCGATGATTGGGAAATCGGGGTTGGAAATTTAATAATTGATTTGGACGCTGATTTGGAGAAGGACAGACAGAAATTTGAGATGAATAATTCCACCAACACCACTAGCAGCAGCAGCTCTAAGGATTGTGGAGGTCCGGCCTCCAGTGGGGCCAGTGCTACAGCAGCCTTAGCTGATGGCCTAAAATTTGCTTCTGTTCAGCCCTCTGCTCCCCAGGGGAATTCACACAAAGAGACCAGCAAATCAAAAGTGAAAAGGAGTAAAACTTCTAAGGATGCTAATAAATCTCTGCCTTCTGCTGCCTTGTATGGGATTCCCGAGATCAGCAGCACTGGCAAGAGGCAGGAAGTCCAAGGGCGCCCTGGAGAGGCAACTGGCATGAATTCAGCGCTGGGTCAAAGTGTGAGCAGCGGCGGCGGCGGCGGCGGCGGCAACCCAAACAGCAATAGTACCAGCACCAGCACCTCCGCTGCCACCGCGGGGGCAGGCTCCTGTGGGAAAAGCAAAGAGGAGAAGCCAGGTAAAAGCCAGAGCAGCCGAGGCGCCAAGCGGGATAAGGATGCGGGGAAATCCAGGAAGGACAAGCACGACCTCCTGCAGGGCCACCAGAATGGCAGTGGCGGCCAGGCCCCTTCCGGGGGGCACCTCTATGGCTTTGGGGCCAAGAGCAATGGAGGTGGCGCGAGCCCCTTCCACTGCGGGGGCACTGGGAGTGGCAGCGTCGCGGCTGCAGGGGAAGTTAGCAAAAGTGCTCCGGATTCAGGGCTCATGGGAAACTCTATGTTGGTAAAGAAGGAAGAGGAGGAGGAGGAGAGCCACAGGCGAATCAAGAAACTGAAAACTGAGAAGGTAGGATAAAGTCGCCTTCCTAGATGTCCCACTCTCTTCTATGTGCATTTGTGTGGGTGTGTGGGGGTGTGCCTCTGTGTGCCTTACACTTCTTCGTGCTTTCGTTCTTTGTGAGATTTCTCTGAGATACGTCCTTGACATTAAAATTTGATATGGGGGCGCTTTCAAGGTGCCGTGTTTGACTCCTGCTGCTGTTGCTTTTGCTGCTTCTGCTTTGGGCCCCCAGGTGGGAGGGTCTGAGTGTTCTAAGTACCTTCTGCCCTGCACGTGGGCTCCTGGCCAGTCAGCAAGTTATGGTGTGCTTTTATTTGAAAACCTGCTTACGGCGCCCACTTGCCTCTTGTCCTGGTTTCTCCCCAAAGGAGAACAGTGTTCTGTTTAGTTTACATGCCCCTATTATTGCTGGTAAAGTGTCCTTAGGTGCAGGGTTCAAGTTTCCTCTGTGGAGAGCAATGTTCAGGATTCCATTTAACACTCCCCCCTCAGCCCATTCATTGTTACTTTCTCCAAAATAGTTCAGTCAAAGGATATCCTTGGATGGTTTCCTGTTATTGGTTCTGAATTAAACTCCAGGCTTGGGGTGTTGGGTCATTGGTTTCATAAATGTGCAGCAAAACTGAGATGATTTTTGGTGGCTGCTAGGACCATAACCCTTCCTTGTTCCCTCACCAAGTTTTTAGCTAGAGATTTGTGTTATCACTTGGGTGCCAGCTTCACAGGGAAGCTGTAAAGCTGTAAGAAGAGTAAAATAGACTTGGTGGACTAATGTTCCTGAACTGTGAAGACATAGCCAAAGGGGTAGACCATGGGAATGAGGCTGAATACTAGATTGTGTGTTGCACTTGAACAATGCTGATTTAGACCATTTGGGTCCTTTCCCCCATCTTTGTTATTGTCTTAAATTCTGCAGTTTAACACTGCCTTGGGAAAACTGCCCCCAATGTTTTGCTGCTTAGGAATGGGGCCTGTGTCTTGCTGGTCTGGGATGTGATTGTTGTGCATTGAGTAATGTCTGCTGTGTCCACCAGGCAGGTTAGGAGCTAATTGGGGTGTAAGTGATCTTTCTGTAAAATTAACCTTTAGATTAATTCTACAGGTTGTGCCTTGCAGAAGCAGGATTTCTATCATGTGGCTCGTGGTGTGGTTGTTTGGAAATATGCTTATTAAATGATTTGATTTTTGCTCTTTGCTGATCAGAATTTTAAGTGGTGGTATATATCTTTGGGTAGCTGTTTCTGTGTACAGTTATTCATGGTTCTCTATTTAAACCTTTTTTATTTTTGTTTTTGGGCATTCAAGATTCAAAAAGGACTTTAGGAATAAAGTTTTGATTTTAGAAGTTGACAGAGGTATATTAAGTGTAGCTAAATATGCCAAACTTGGAAAGGACCACTGAACGCTTTTTAAAATTCATATCCTTTTGGTTAGACAGCATTCTATATTGATGAATTTAAATCAGCTTTTAAAAATCCCAGGTTTTGGTTCTTATGTTTAAATGTGTGCAGTTTCACATAATTTCTACTAAAAGGCGTTTTGAAATGTTCTTATTACTTAGTACAGTAGGGCATTTACTTTTGTTGCCAATAGTCTTCAAATTGCAGTTCTAATCTGCTTTAACTATCTAGATGAATTGCCCTAATCCAGTGCTCACAATGGCTGTGGTTAAGGAGTCAGAGGCATTTGATTGGATTCACTGGCTGCCTGGAATGTGGGAGGTACTGCCCTTTTGCATTCCCCTTAGCCTTTTAATCTTCCAGCCAAATGTTCACATTCAACAATTTTGTTTAGCTGGCAATCGGAACATTTCAGGATCTCAAAGGCTGCTGTCATGGCAACTGAGATTAGAGCTTGGTGTCGGTTCTCCAGTTTTTGTGTTCTTTTCACTTTCCAGTCACAGAGGAAACTGGATGAAGAATGGAAGAATTAAATTATTCATATACACGCAACCCATCTTCAGTCAGAGCAGTATAAATGTGATCATATGAATTACGTAAATGAAGAGCAAACAAGTCATGGTGGGGCTGGAATGGGGAAGGGGAGAGAGCACATGGTGCTTAGATTCACTCCTGGCCCTAAGAGGGAAGGAAGCTGCACTGCCAACCTTAGCCACTGAAATTGGCACAAAGGTCCTCTTGGGACGATTTGGAAGTGCTTGGATCTTGCAGTGTTGGCCATTCTCAGCAAGCTGGGGTGTTGGCTCAGGATCTCAGAATTCATTCCTTAAGCCTTTCCTTCCCACCCCATCCCACTCCACCCCAGAAGGACTTAAGAATGCTTTCATCCTTGGCACACAAAGATGGCACTCCCTGGCATGAATGCCACCCAGGGAAGTAACTCTAATTTCACTAACTAGTGGTTATGGCAAATTAGGCTTCAATTTAGAAAATACTTCCTAATGATATGAAGATACCTATTTAGGAAATAAAGATTGAGTAGGACAAGCTTCACCTGACAAATGTTTCAACTCTGAGGCATCTTTGAGGAAGGTTTTATTTTATTTTAGGTGGTGCTGGGGATTGAACCCAGGGCCTCCTGCATGCCAGGCAAGCGCTCTTCTTTACTGAACCATTATCCCCAGCCGTTAAGGAAGGGTATTTAAAAAAAAAAATACAGTGTTTGGATTTCAGCCTTGCTTGATTA